TCAGAGCAGGGCCAATTGGGGAGTTGGGGCGCCGCCCCCTGTCATGCACAGAGCAGGGCGGATTGGGAGGTTGCGATGCCACCCTCAGTCACGCTCAGGATAGGGCCGATTGGGGGGTTGGGGCACCACCCCCTGTCACACTCAAGGCAGAGACGATGGGGAGGTTGTGGTGCCACCTCTTGTCACGCACAGAGCAGGGCCAATCAGGGGTTTGGGGCGCTGCCCCCTGTCACGCACAGAGCAGGGCCTATCAGGGGGTTGGGGAGCTCCCCCCAGTCACTCACAGAGTAGGGCCGATAGGGGAGTTGGCGCACCACCCCATCACACACAGAGCAGGGCAGATCAGGGGGTTGGGGCACCGCCCTCTATCACCCACAGAGCAGAGCCGATCAGGGGGTTGGGGCGCCGCCACTGTCACACTCAGGGCAGGGTCGATGGGGAGGTTATGGCTCTACCTCATCACACACAGAGCAGGGCCCGTGGGGTGAGGGGGTTGGGGCACCATAAACTGTCACACACAGAGCCGCAGGGTGATCAGGGGGTTGGGGAACTCCCCCCTATCAGGCACAGAGCAGGGCTTATCAGGGGGTTGGGGCGCCTTCACCTGTCACGAACAGAGCTGGGCCAATAAGGAGGTTGTGGCCCCGCCCCGTGTCACACACAGAGCCGCAGGGCGAACAGGGGGTTTGGGCGCTGCCCCCTGTCACACTGATCCCGGTGCCGGGAAGCCTCTTAGCTCCGCTGATCCCAGTGCTGGGAGGCATATTACCCTTTTACTATATAGAATAGAGGCCTGGTGCATGGATGGGGGCTGGCTGGTTTGCCCTGAAGGGTGTCCTGGATCAGGGTGGGGGTCCCCACTGGGGTGCCTGGCTAGCCTGGATGAGGGGATGATGGCTGTTTGCAGCTGGTCACACACCCTTCAGGGTGGGGGTCCCCACTGGGGTGCCTGGCCAGTCTGGGTGAGGGGCTGAGGGCTGTTTTCAGGTGGGACTGAAGCTCCCAACTGCTTCTTTTTTTCTTTTCTTTTTTTTTATTCTGGCCAGCTTTAGCTCTGAGGCTCCAGCTCTTAGGCCTCTGCTCCTGAAAGCAGGTATCTGGTTTGTTTCGGTTCTATAATCTAAACTCTGTATCAACTCCAGCTCTGAGATCCCAGCTCGCTGAAAGCTGGTTTCTGGGGTTTTGTTTAGCGTCTATATTTGTTACAATGTTTGAAACTGCAGGCTCAGAGGCCAGCAAGGCGGGCGGGGAACGTTGGAGTCCTCTGTCACTGAAGCAAGCAAGCCTCATGTTAGTTTTAAGCTGCCTGGCTGCCGGCCGCCATCTTGGCTTGCAGTTAATTTGCATATCTTGCTGATTAGCCAATGGGAAGGGTAGCGGTCGTATGCCAATTACCATGTTTCTCTTTTATTAGATGGATATATATATATATATATATATATATATATATATAAATAAAAATATATACACACACACACACACACACACACACATACACACACTAGTGGCCCAATGCACGCAATTTGTGCACATTAAGAGGCAATTAATTAGAAGAAATATTTTAATATTGCTATTTCCCCTTTCTGTATAATAGAAGTGTCAGAGATGAAAGAAAATTAATAAAATGTATATAAAAATCTCCCTCCTGTCAGAGTTTGGGGCATGCCGGGCCCAGAGTCAAGTCCCCGCGAACCCGCATGCGCCTTGAAATCGTGCAAGACCCAGACCCAGCTGGTCCCACCCCCATCAAGCCCCATATGGCGGGAGGCACAACCTTAGCCCCCCTGGTCCAGGCACTGGTGCAGGGGGGCTTGGCCTCAGGTCCCCCGGCCCGGCCTCAGGTTCCCCAGCCACAACACCAGGTCATGGGGTGCAGCTTCAGGTCCCCAATCAAGCTCCACAGGTTGGGGGGTGCAGCCTCAGGTCCCCCGTCAAGCCCTGCCAGGCAGTGGATGCAGCCTCAGGTTTCCCGGCCTAGCGCCAGGCAGGGGGCGTGGCCTCAGGTCCCCTGGACGGCGTCAGGTCCCCCGGCCCTGGCATGAGGGTGCAACGACCATTTGCTTGTTAGCTCTTTATTATATAGTACTAGAGGCCCAGTACACAAAATTCGTGCACTCAAGAGGGGGGTGGTCCCTCAGCCCGGACTGCACCCTCTCGTAGTCTGGGAGCCATCAGTCAGACATCCTTAGCGCTGCTGCGGAGGCGGGAGAGGCTCCCACCACAGCTGCTGTGCTGGCCAGCCATGAGCATGGCTTCTGGCTGAGCGGCACTCCCCCTGTGGGAGCACACTGACCATCAGGGGACAGCTCCTGCATTGAGCATCTGCCCCCTAGTGGTCAGTGTGTGTTATAGCGGTCGGTCGTTCTGCTGTTCAGTCGATTTGCATATTATCCTTTTATTATATAGGATAATGTATTATTATGGGCAAGGCCTCTAATTCAATTTTTTTTAGGTAGTTAAAGGGAAGGGCAGAATTTTCACTTGAGCCTGAAGCTAAAATTGTCCTTAACTCAAAAATCTGCATACCAGTGAGACACATCTTGGTGAGGCTCATTCTGAACCCTCACACTGTCCTATTGTGTGTATAAGTATTGGGAACCATCTTATCTCTTTAGTGAAAGGAACCTTTTGTTATGTTTCAATGGCTAACTTTATCTCATGAGTTGTGTTTGGCTTCAAGCTTGTATCCAGTATTCATGCAGCAACTTCAGCTCTTCTGTTCAATATTTACCTGGCATATCTTTTATTTTATTTTCTCTAAATCTTTCTAGTTTTTTATGTATTAGATAGGAATAGCCTATGGCCACAGACAATAGTCTGGCAAAGGCCTGGAAGGGGTGGGTGCAGGGTGGAGGAGATCAATGGGGGGGAAAAAAACTAAAACAAAGGGACATCTGTAATACTTTCAATAATAAAGATACATTTTAAATAAAGGAAAATATCTTAGCTGAAAAGAGTTTCATGTGAAATAATATAAGTAATTTCTCTACACAGTACTTTATATTCTCAAGTCCTCAAAAAGAGATATTAATTGACCCTATGTTCACTTAATGTTAATTGACCGTATGTTCATTGAATGCAGGACTGACTTCCACCATGCCGACCCAGCACTGACTGCTACGGGGGCTGCGATCAGACCCTGCTTTTCTCTCCCAGCCTCTGTCTGGGCCTGACTGCAGCCCCCTTGGCAGTCAGTGCTGGGTCACTGAGGCTCCCGCAGCATGGCAGTCAGTGCTGGGCCTGACTTCTGGTGTTTGGTTGAGCCTTAGGTCATTTTGGACATTATGGACCCTGGCTCTTTATATATATATACTAGAGGCCCGGTGCACAAAAATTTGTGTACCTGGTGGGGTCCCTCAGCCCGGTCTATGCCCTCTTGCAGTCTGGGACCCCTCAGAGGATGTCCACCTGCTGGCTTAGGCCCGCTCCCTGGGGGGATTGGGCCTAAGCTGGCAGTCAGACATCCCTCTGGTAGCCCGGCAGCCCTCGGGGGATGTCCACTTACCAGCAGGGAGCAGACTTAAGCAGCAGTCGGACATCCTTAGTGCTGCTGAGGAGGCGGGAGAGGCTCCCACCACCACTGCTGTGCTGGCAGCCATCAGCCTGGCTTGTGGCTGAGCAGAGCTCTCCCTGTGGGAGCACACTGACCACCAGGGGACAGCTCCTGCATTGAGCGTCTGCCTCCTGGTTGTCAGTGTGTGTCATATGGAGCAGTCATTCCCAGTCATTCTGCTGTTAGGGTCAATTTGCATATTACCCTTTTATTATATAGGATAGATATCGAGGGGGGGGGGAGAAATCGCCCCTCTAGAAGTATGCACATCAAACAACTAATAGTGATTATATCTGGGAGAATTATTTAAATGTGATTTCAACAAGAATGTATTCCTCATTTGCTTTAGGGGAAAAAATATTTTTGTCATTAAATATTATTTGCTTCAAATGATTAAGCTTATACAGGCATAAAAGCAAAAGAATTATACTGTGTATATCACTGATGTTGACATTTATCATAATTTCTGTCATTACTTAAATATATTGAAATCTATTTATTTAAGAAAAGAAAAATATGTAACACTATTTTTCAGGCTTATATTATACCTTCTTTTTCATTCTTTTTTTAAAATATATTTTATTGATTTTTTACAGAGAGGAAGGGAGAGGGATAGAGAGTTAGAAACATCGATCAGCTGCCTCCTGCACATCTCCTACTGGGGATATGCCCGCAACCCAGGTACATGCCCTTGACCGGAATCAAACCTGGGACCTTTCAGTCCGCAGGCCGACGCTCTATCCACTGAGCCAAACCGGTTTCGGCTATATTATACCTTCTTTTTCTATAAGAAGTGGAACCATAATGTATTCCAGTATTTAATTCTATAGTATTATTTTTGAACCTCCCTCTGCCAATCCTATATTCTCAAATATTCTGCAACTTCTCAAATGCAGAACAACATCTGTATTACCAAGTATGCTTTCAATGGACAATTCATTGATCACTTGAAAATAATTCTATACAAAATAAGACTACACTAGAATTCTATAATCTGTGTAGAATATGTCTGTTATAATTTTTTTTTTTACTAAAATTTGTCAAAGTTTAAAAGAATAAAGAGTACTGGCCAGTGTTTCTTGATGGTTAGAGTGCAGGCCCATGAACCGAAGTGTTGTGGGTCTGATTCCCAGTCAAGGACACATACCTGGTCCAGGCCTAGAGGGAGGCAAATAATCTATGTCTCTCTCTCTGTGTCTGTGCCTGTGCCTGTGCCTGCGCCTGTGCCTGTGCCTGTGCCTGTGCCTGTGTCTGTGTCTGTGTCTGTGTCTATGTCTGTGTCTCTCTCTCTCCTCCTTTTTTCCCCTTTCTCCACCTTCCTACCCTCCGTCTCCCTTCCACTCTCTCTAAAAATCAATAGAAAAATATCCTCCGGTGAGGATTAACAAAAAAATAATAATAATTTGGAAAAGAAAAGAATAAAGAAAATAGACTCTCAATCCTCTACCTTATATTCATCCACAATAATGCTGAGGGCTTCATGACCAGCTTTCCTCATGTCTTCCAATTCTTGTTTATGTTTTTCCTGAAAAAAAAAAAAGTAAACCATGAAATGTTCTTTTGTTTACAAATAATAAAACCATTGACTTTTGCATCCATGAATAATTGAGTGGTTTCTGAAAACACAATGTTGTAGGTGAAAAGCTTTTTTTTTTTTTTAAGTTTTGTTTAAAAGCATTCAGATTTTCTTTCCTTGAGTATCATAATTATATTATTTTTTGGTATGTTTTTGAAAGTCTGACATGGATCTAATTTTCTCTACCTTATAATTAAGTTGATTATATAATTTATGTTCCTCATTATGTCACCTTTGAGAGTAAAAGGGGTTAATTACACTGGAATAATGGACATAAATATTACTGACTGTCCTGGGCAAATGAAAAAGCAAAGTCATTGAATTTCTAGATTTCTGAGATGTTCTTTAAAGCCAATAGAATATGTCTCATAATTGACTGTCTGGGTCTATTTTCCCAGGTACTCACATGCACTTCTAAATTATAAGGGTCCTAGCCATTTATTGTAAGTTTACTGAATTTTATTTTTGATACTTCAAATCTTTGATTTTCTTTTTCAGGGACAACATTTATCTACATACTGGATCAGTTTTCCTTGTTTTTTTTTGTAATTATTCCTTCCTCTCAAATCCTTCCTCCATTATTTGATATTTTTTCAGTTTCCCTTTTGCCATGCTTTTTCTTTCTTTCTATAGTATTGTTGCTATCAACAATTCAGTTCTATCAGTTTGTGTTCTAGAATTCATGTAAACTGTAAACTATCTTTTTGTTGAAGATGTTTATGGATTATTTCTTTAACTATCTTGGTCTAATATTATATGAGATTCTGAGAATATTCCCAAAATAATGCAGCCTCAGTTGCTGCCATCATCATGCCACATCAACCCCTTCCTTCCTTAAAAGACTCTTTACTTGGTTCTCCTCCTATCTACTCAGTCTGTTCTATTGGCTTCTTTTCATTGCCCCAACTTCACAATATAGAAGTTCCCTGGTGAAAAGACTTCTTCCTAACTTGTCCAACCTCTAATTAATCCTAATATTAATTCTATTACCTTGAATATTATCTTTGTATAACTTCTTATTTTATATCTCCAACCCTGCCATGGCTGATTCCCAGATTTATATAACTGCCTAGTAAGGCCTTCATATGGATGTGTGAAAGGAATGTCAAAGTTAATATGTCCAATGTCAAACTTTTTATTTTCCTCTATCAAACTTCCAATTGCTCACACCAAAAAAATCATGAAATCATTTTTAGTTTCTCTCATTTTCCCTCACAATCCACTTGCAATACTTCAGAAAATCCTATTAACTTGATATTCATTTTTATTTCTTTAATAAACTCTTAAATATTACAAGTGTGCTAAGTACTGTTCTAAACCCTTTACAAAATTGATTCATTTCTTTTACTTACTTAAACCTCCTATCATTCCCATCTCATGATCCAGAATGTGAGCACTTGTCAGTATCTCCACTGCTACTTCTTGTCCACACCACAGTAATTTCTCAATAGGACTGTAATAACATCCTTGCCTCAAAAACAACCACCAAAACAATCCTTTAAAAACTTTAAGGCAATCATAAAATATGTAAGATGTAACCTCTATGAGGGCAGGAATTGTTCACTGCTATATCCATAGCAACTAAAATAGTACCTGGCACAATGTGTGTGCTCAATGAATATCCGAATAATGAAACATATACATCTGATCAAAATTCCCAACTAGCTTCCATATGGTAGTGCAAATAAATTCTATAATCTTTCCTATAGGCCAAAGCTATACCACTCTCCTTCTAAGTCCCTCCATCTGTTGTCATTGTTTTTCCTCAAATCATTATAAGTACATTCCTGCTCTAATGTTATTGAACTTGTTATTTGCTATGTTTGATATACACTTTGCCCCAGCTATCACACTCATTTCCTTTAAATACTGCTCAAAAATCATAATAGAGAGAAGTTCCCTGACCCACCCTACATAAAATAGCACACACTCATCATTATCTACTAATCATGCTTTATTTTTATTGTTAATCCTCACCTGAGGGTATTTTTCCATTGATTTTTAGAGAGGGAGGGAGGGGGAGATAGACAAGAGAGAGAGAAAGAGAGAGAGATATACACCGATATGAGACACATTGAGTGGTTGCCTCCTACATGCACCCTGAATGCCTGACTGGGCCAGGGATTGAACCTGCAACTCAGGTATCTGCCCTTGACCTGGAATCAAATCCATGATCCTTCAGTGTACAGGCCAATGCTCTAAACACCTAGCAACACCAGCCAGGGCCATGGTTTATTTTTATTCACAGCACCTATCAATTGTCCATTACCTATCTTCCCTTGTTATATTGGGAAAAACAATGATGGTAATCTCTAACACTATGCTACTTAAAAAAGTGAGGAAAAGACAGACACTAGAGAGATTTCAATTTCTGAGATTAAGTTCAATTTGGGAAGATGAAATTTTACTTCCATTAAATATATGTACCTCAAATGGTGCCTTATATGTCAGCCTTATATGCCTTATAATGTCAGCTCAATTAAAAAGAACCGCATAAAAAAGTTGTGAGGCCAAAAATATTTGGGAAGTGAGAAAGGTGTTTCATTCTTTATCAAAGAGACGGTTATTTAACATCATAATAAAAATGTTAGAAGTGTATTTAAAACCTAGTCTTCAAAAAGGAGGCTAGTTCACATACACATTTGTTGAGTCAATAAGTGAAATTATGGTCAATGTACTTTATATTAATCCATATAAATTAACAAATATTTTATACATTTTTAATCTGTTAATAGAGGGAGTAAGATTAAAACATTTTAAAAAACCCTTCCAATGTTTCTAATGCTATTCTATGAAATAGTATGCTAAAACTAGAACAATTAATTCCCCTTTGCTTACTTCAAAATTACTGGCAGTACTCATATAACCACATTGTAACACACCAGACTGCCCAGTTACTGCACCCCCCACCATAAAAAACAAAAAACAAAAACAAAAAAAACCTCACAGGAATAACCAAATAATTATCCACAGCCTGAAATTTTTATTTCAAGAATATAGAACCAAACATTTCAACCTATCTTCAAAGTAGTCAAAACAAAATTTGACCACAATGATAGCTTTCTTTTAAAATGTCAAACCCAAACTATCATTAGAAAGGGAAGATTCAGAAAATGTTCTCACCTTAAATAAAATGACATACTTTTTAAACAAGAAGAGACTTTAAAGTAAGCTATTCCAACATATTTATTTTATAAATGAAGAAATTCATGCCTAGGGAGGTCAAGAAGATTGTTCAAGGTCACTGAGTTCAATAGGGCCATCAGAAGCCTGAATCACATAACCTGATAGCCCAATGTTTATTAAGAAATATCCAGTCAAAGACTGAACTATTTGAGTATACTCCCAACTCATCAAAGCAGATCCATTTTCTATGTAAAATTCATTAATAGATAGAATCACATGTCATGCCATATCTTCTGATGAAATTAAGATACAAATTGGTCACTCTTAGATAAAACTTGAAATAATAATTTATCAATTCATTACTGTCAACCAGAAAGTTTGGTCTGATAAAAATAATGTAAAATAAGGTGCTTCTTAAAGATTATCAGAAGCACAGTCCAACCAATTATCCACCACCCCCTCTCCAATACCAATTCCTTGCCAAACTTACTAAACACACCCAGGTCTAATACCCTAATATGCCTAACATAATTGACATTAAAAATATTTGTTAAATACATATGTAAATAAGAATCATATGATTAAAAATATAGATACTTCACAGGAAAAAAAAATTAGCAAAATTTTTAAAGTAGGCATCATTTGATGATAAAACTCAATTCAGATATTTAAATCAAGAATGATACACAAAAATATTTTAAAGCCCATTTATGACACAAACTGATAAATATTTCTCAGTTTACATTATATTATTGTTGGTCATTGCTAACAACAGAACCCACACTAATTACTCCTAATAAATTAATCCATACATAGTAATAGGATCCTCTGCTACATAAATGGTTAAAAGCCAACATTTAATTTAGGTATTTGGAATTAATTACTACAGCACTTAAAATATAAAAGAGAGAAGAAATGAAAGAGGGAAGAAGGGAGGGAACTCGAAACATTAATCAACCATTATATTCCACCTATTAGAAAGCAGCTACTTCTCACTTTCTAAATTCTTTGGCTAAGGCACATCTATAATTAAACTGAACATAATTAGAACATAATTAGTTACTATTGTCTGATTGAGAAAGGTTTTCCAATACAGGCTTCGCCACCACTCTCTCTGAAGTCACAAGATTATATCCCTTTCACAACAACTAATCAACTATATTGGATAAGGCAGCACAAACACCTCCAGATATTCCAAAAGGCAATCTGCAGGGCAAGAAATCAAAATAAAGATAGCAGGAAAACATCTAACCAATGCACTGAAAGGTTCTAACTGTGAAATGGTATAAAATCCCCCCACCAAGATCTAAAGAATCAAATGCACCAAAGTGGCCTAATTGTAAATGTCAAAAAAGCACAAAAATTAGATTATCCTGTATGTACCTACTTTGTCAAAACAACAAAACACCACCTCTCCATCACATTTGACAGCTGCAACAAGCCTAGCTGGTTTATAAAAGAGAGTACCTTTCACTGTCATGACAATTATGAAACAAGAAGTCTTTTCCACTGAATAAATGTTTAATCTTTACCTCCTAGTTCTATGTGATTTCTCAGTCTCTCTGTACAATTGGTAACAAATAACAGCACATGACAGAATCCTTCAAAATCTTCAAGCCAATTTCACAGACTAAGTCAAATATTTAAGCAAATATAAAATGAGAGAAAAAAAAATGACACAAGCATGTAAAAATCAGTCTAAAGGTATAAAGTAATATTGCATATGGAAATAAAGCATTTTTGCCATAGTAAATACTAAAACAGAGACCCATAAGTCTGCTCCTTCAGTTTAATATTTCCATGATCTTTCAATGAATTAATTT